AGAGAGAGTCACTCAAATGCCAGGAAGCTGAAGATGAGGAGCTCTGTCTAGCTGCAATGTGGAGTTGTATTGTAAGGTAGCCAAGAACTGAGGCTGGAGAGGCAGGTGGGTAATAATCTATGAAGAGTTCCCACCAAAACCAGCTATGGAAGCCAAATTCACGCCCTTTGTGCTGTGAGAATATCCAAACTGAAAATACAAAAGTAGGCTAGATTAGAGAGATGAAACTCAAGTTCCCCAGCAAAAGGTCCAAACTGAGACATTTGTATGACTCATTGTACGTAGACTCACTCCACGGCAGGGTTGAAAGGAACCCTCACAAGTTGTGTGCACCAATAATGATTATCAACCACAGGAAGAAAAATGTTGTTGTGTGTTAAGTTCAGAAGAAACAAAAATAAGCGGATGAGCACTTCAAGAGCTTAAAATGTTAGAAGAGCCTGTAGGGGATGGATACACAGGCTCATAATTACTTTAAAGTAAAGTAAAAAGTAGTCATACAGCACACATGAACTATGAACCAATGGCTGAGGGGTCCACACTGGATCAGGCCCTCCGAATGGGTGAGACAGTTGATTGGCTTGATCTGTTTGGGAGGCATCCAGGCAGTGGGACCAGATCTTGTGCTCATTGCATGAGTTGGCTGTTTGAAACCTGGGGCCTATGCAGGATTGTTTGGCTCGGCCTGGGAGGAGGGGACTAGACCTACCTGGACTGAGTCTACCAGGTTGACCTCAGTCTGTGGGGAAGGCTTTGCCCTGGAGGAGATGGGAATGGGGGGGGGGGCGTTGGGGGGAAGGTGAGGGGGACGGGAGGGGGGGAGAACAAGGGAATCCGTGACCGATATGTAGAACTGAATTGTATTGCAAAATAAATTAAAATAAATTTAAAAAAAAAAGTAGTCATACAGTGAAAAACCTACAACCTTGACAAAAGAAAAGATTGGTTTGTAAGAAAGGAAAATGTATAGAAATTGCAAAGCTAACTGAAATGTAGAAAACCACCAGTGATTTCTTTACAAATGGGTTATCAGTGCACAGAAAAAAAATATGCAGACTATAGCTCAGAATGAAGAGACTAGTGGTGCGTGAGGGCGTGGCAGATAAACTCTTGAGGTGGACCCAGTGCTCTGCCTCCTTGTATACCTTCTTTGGTCCATTCCCTCGGTGTGTGGATGAGAACTGTCAGGCTTCTAACCCTCGGAACACACTAAAGGTGACAGGATGAGATGCTCAGCATAGGACCCAGGTGACAAGGGTGTACTGCTTTTAGTTTAAAGAAATAACATTGCAGAGCAGCAGACAAATACCACAAATGGCTTGTACACAGGTATCCATGGAATCGTAAAATTCAATATATCTACAATATGAATCTCAAGTTTATATTTTGAGCCCAGATTGAATCAAGTCTGAGATAGTAGCACATACAAATTATATTGTAGTTGTCCTTCAAAACTTTATAGTCATTCACTTATTCAGTGGATCAATCTTTCAAATAGCTTTCACCATAATTGAACTAACCACCCTACAGAACTGCACTTTGTCACCAACAATCATTAGGTCAGACAGCTTCGGACTTTGTTCTTGGAGACCTGTGTTTGCATTTGGTACTACATTTGGTGTTGATTTAAAAATCTCCTTTCACTGGTCCATGTTACTAGGGTAGCCTCTTCACTGTCCTTTAATCCATTTCTATGTAGAAGTTCAAGTGATCTTTGAGAGTGTAAGTATAATTGTTACTTTTCATACTGAAGCATTTCAAAGACTCCCTAATGTTCTTGGGATGAAAAGGCAGCATCTTTTCCTGACTTCTAAGCTTTCTCCCACTTGGTTCTGCAGCTTAGTCTTCCTATGCTCTCCCTCTGCTTTCCAGCCACACTGTCCAACCTTTACAGCTTTTCCTGCCTGGAATATTGTCTGCCCATTTTTTCCTTTCCAACTAGGTTCCTACTTACCTTCAAATCTCATCGTAGTATTTAGCAAGCTTGTCTTCTTGACCTTCTACAGCCAGCTTTAATTTTGAACAAAAATTCCTTGCTGCACAGGCTCCAAAGTGGGCACCTACTTCTATCGCAACACTGGCTGAAGAATTGCCCTTCTTGATTTTTCTGCCTTCCCTACCTTCTGTTCCTTTTGGCTTTATGTTGGCAAGCATCATGTCTAATTCATGGTTGTTTACCCAGGAATTGCCAAGGAATGTCATATCATAAGTATTCACTAAATCATTTGTTGAGTAAGTAAAAAAGGTTGTGAAGAGCAATAAAGCCATATGTATTGGAATTGACATTAGCAGTTGAAATAGAATTCTTCTCTAAATTATTAAATTCAAATTGTATGTAGCACAACTTCCAGAAAAACCTTTAATTTTGAAGTATTGAGATAAATAACTTCTATGTCAGGGATCTTTTAATGAAAAAATTGGAATGAGAGAGACTTTTATTGATGTAGTATTGAAAAAAGAGTAATTGGGAAAAATGATGTACTTAAAAATGGCTTCTCACGATCCCGACCCAGATTTCTGAACCAATGCTACCTGAATTTACTTTTCTCCTTAAAATCAAGACATGACATTTCTCTAAATCCCCGTTTTCTCTACTTCTCTTTTCTTTATCAGAGAGAGGGTGGTTAAATCCACTCCCCGTTTACACACTAACAAAGGAAGAAGACCATCAACACCCATCACAATACAGTGGGGTACATGTTAAAGATGAAACACCAGCAAAATGAAATGAGTTTTTATTCAATCTGTCATAGAAATCTGATCTACAAGAACATGTGTGAATGTGTGAATAATCAAGTGAGTGAACTTCTGTTCCTTAGGTGAGATGATCCTTCCTCATGACCAGGTCAAACTAAGACCAGCTTATATAAGACAACAGCAAGAACCAATGAGGTTGTGATAGAAGCAATGTAAGTCAACAGTAAGAACAAGTGAGGTTGCTGTCACTTGCCTGACAAGGAGAGTCCATGGAATCTGGCCCTCGCTGTCATGGTGTTTACTTGCAATGGTATATATGGGGAAAGAGTAATGAAGAGATGAGTACTCATATGTGTTTCTGGTGTGTGTGTGTGTGTGTGTGTGTGTGTGTGTGTGTGTCTGTCTGTCTGTCTGTCTGTCTGTCTGTCTGTCTATATGAGTATGCCTGCTTGTGCATCTTTTATTGTGTAACCCACAGTCCAAGCAAATAAAGACACATGCCATCAGAGAATGACAAACAGAACATGCAGAAGAAAAGACTTTATTTTTCTGCGAAAATGTATAAAATCCTTCGTCACATAAACATACTTGAACTATGGAGAAATAAGGATAATAGAGAGAGTATTTAGCAAAAAGCTATCAAATGATAAGACAGTTGAAAAACAGAAGAGCTATTGACAATTACAGTGACAACAGAAGCATTAGAACTGTACAGAGAAAGACATCATGGGTAAATCCTCCTTAAATATATTCTGTAAGGAACAGATCACATCCAGAATGGTCTGTAAGAACGTAGTTGAAGATATGTGTAGAAGGGAGTGAACACAAAACTCTACATGTGGTCCTTGACTAGAATCCACTTAATACTTATTGCAATACTTAGGAATGCAAATACTTTTGAAAAAGTTTCCTTAACTTCCTGGCCACAAAGTGCTACTTTGCAAGAGACTATTTGAAGCTGTGGTGTGGACACAAAGACTTACATGTGAGAACGATGAGAATTGAACAAAAGAGCTCAATGTCACTACGAGTTTGAAATGATTGCCACAGGGTGAGGGCTGCTACATACAATTTATAACTAGTGAGGAATGGAAAAAGAATACAGTTTATTTACGTTCATAGTACATTATCTTGTCCTTTGTCTGACTGGTGTGTATAGATTCCCCTTGGTATTTCCACAGCAAAAGGACTTCCTTAAAGCCATCATGACTCAGTGAGCATTGACAGCATGCAAAGGAAGTTACCCTCATGCTTTCAAACCAGGGCAGCTCCGGAGGACATAGACACATTGACAGAAGGGCATCTTGTGGGCCACAGCTGTTTCAGTGGTGTCAGGAGTTTATTCAGCAGGTCAAAGTGTTTCCCCCTCAATGAACACTAATAACATCTCCTTTGGAAATATATCCTACCCAAAGATAGTAAGCATGAATAATCGGACAGGGAAAACTTGACGGAAAAGTCAAAACCCCCACAAATGTATCAGTAGCTAACAGAGAGTTTTCAGTTGCAATGGAAAAAAAGGGGAAACTTTAAGTGAAAAAGATAGAGAAAGGGCTATCTGCTGTTTTCTGATGGAAAGAATGGCCCTTGAAATCAGAAATGATGCTCAGGAGGGATGATGTGAGCACTGACCCTGGGTCATCTTTCCCCCACATTATTGGAAATAAACTCCCCTCTTCTTCATGAAGAAAAGAACTGTCCACAGTTCATTTGAATATCTTTTCATAAAGACACACATGATTTTAAAAATGTTCATGGATATTATCAAATTTTCATGTTACATATAACTGATGAGAACAAAGAGCACACACCGAATTAGAAAGAGGTAAACTGTAAACAGGAAAAGAAGGACGTGCAAAAGTGGAGTGGAGAGAGACGGTTTTCTAATCACAGTGAAAACCATTCAACGCGGAAGCATTAAGGATAACAGGGCCTTAGGACTCACTACAGGGGGTAATGAGATATTTCTGGCTATATTAAGAACATTCTTTTCATTTAAAAAAGTAGCATAGGAAAATATCTTATAAAGACTTGAAGTGATTGTGGTGTGCTTAAAAGAGGTTTGAATGCATTTTCATCCTCAAGATGTATTCTATCTCGTTTCCCGGAGACCTACATTGAGACAGGGCATTTCTTGCAAGTCAATGTTTTACCACTTGGGAATGCTCATGCATGTGTTAATAATTATCCTGGGCACCCCACTCTACAACTGGCTCATCATTCATGCGCAGAACCAGGTAGGACAGGAGCTGAAAGAGGTTTTGCCACAGTAAGAGGGACACATAAAAGGAAAGGCCGCTTACGTCCAGTTCACAGCGCTCGCCCGCGAAGGCCACGTCACAGATGCACTGGAACCTGTTGACCAAGTCCCTGCACAGGCCTCCATGGAGGCAGGGATCAGAAGCACACTCATCGATGTCCTCTTCACACCTTGTGAATGAATGGAAAAGCAGAAGCCCAGGACTGGGTGAATAAGTGAGCTGTGAGATGGAGCGATGGTTTGTCTCTCTCCCTAACATGGCACAGAGTGATCATCAATTCTACTCAATTATACATACCGGAGAATTTCAAAGATTCCTTCAGAGCCCTGTAATACATTTTGAGTTTTGTGGAAATTAGTCACAGAGATGGACAGACATGGACACACACGTTGAGTTAATTAGAATAAGAAAATGACTGCAAATATTTAGAAGCCCTGTTTGTTCCTTGAGAACACTGTTGGGTTTGCTGCCTTGTAAATGCCAGCTTTATTAGGAAGACACTGGCAGGGTGACTTTGCCAGCCTGGAATCTACAGGTCAGAGGAAACCCTGACTGTAGGTTCTATCTCCGACTTGCTTAATTCTGGGAGATACTGAATTATTTTCCTTTGAAATTCCATTTTTTAACACGAGCAAAGGTAAGAAACCTGTTAATAAATCTGTGTTCCAGTGGTGACACAGAACTCTGAATGTTCTAGTAAGTGCTTTCACATTTGACTTTTCTGAAAGAAGTACCCTCCACACTAAGGTATTTGAGTACTGGGACATTGCCAGCCTCCTTTTCTTCCAATATTTTTTTCTTTTGATTTTTTTTTAAACTGACTTATGAACACAGAAATGGCATGCACTTGTGTGGTAAATGTGTGTGTGTGTGTGTGTGTGTGTGTGTGTGTGTGTGTGTTACGTGTATGTGATATGTTGATACTTTGGTGTAATGTTCATATCAGGTTGAATAAAACAGTTGCACATCTTTCTATTGTCCTTTCAAATTAGTTCTTCTTGGGTTTTGGAATACTGTTATGTGTAGTGAACAAATCCTTGTTCTGGACATCCATGGATTAATTCAGTAGTTTTATCTATCTTGTGCTAAGGCCTCAGGGCAGAGCAGTGGTAATGGCATTTGTATTACTTTAGGAAACTCATGAAATCTTAGCCCCAGGATCTCTGCAGAACAGCTTATACTGTAAACTGTTTTTAATCTCCGCTTCCCCCAAAGTAGAACTTCCATGTGTGCTAGAGACTTCTCACCAGGCTCAAATACAAGGGCTGAGGTAGAGGAGCTGGGAGATCCCTGGTGTGACAGAAACAGCAACTTGTTCCAAGGAAAACAGCTCCTTATCCGCAGGATACCAAGCATAGCTGAGGCCCTATTTTCCTTTTATGGCCCTGGCTTCTGGGCTGGAAGGAGGCTTCTCTGACTAGATCCCAGCCAAACTTGACAACTCTCAGGAGCTTGCCAAGCACTCTGTGTCCTGGGTGGCCAGCGTTCACACCATCCATCATCTGAACCTGCTGGGATGACACTATGAAGCTGGAGGCTTAAGTAGGCGGAGCAGCTTCTTCATATCCTCCCCTGTGTGGAGGTCTTGCTGCTCTAGGCCTTGGGGGACTCTCTAAACACTTGTAGTTCTCCCTTCCGCTACTCTTTCATTTCTTCATCAATTTCTTTTTGAGCAAAAACAGTTGATACTTTCATATGCACGAAAAATGCCAGTGAAGCTATTATTAGAAAATAATAAGACTGAATGTAGTGGCCCATTCCCGAAATCCCAGCAACGGGACAAGACAGACAGAAGGGTGACAGCAAGTGTAAGACGAGCCTGTTCTATGTAGCAAGCTCTAGACAAACCAGAGGTAAAATGAGACCCTATCTCCAAAGGAAAAACAAAGTAAAACAAACAAAGAAGATGATAATTAATAGATGGAAAGTCAAGGAAAAGTCATTAAGCTCTTCTGAATTGACTAATGGTGCTTAATGTGTTTGCAAAATCGGAATATATTAAACATACATTCACTGTTTGAAATAATTTTTCAACAATGAAGTTTAACAGGATGAAAATCCCCTCAGGAAAGAAATAGAAATTAGTAACCCTTTCCCCATCTTAATAATTTAAATGGCAAGAATGAATTTGAAAATTGGTATGTATCAGAGGAAATAGAAATACAGCAAAAAAAAGTTCAAGGTATTGGATGAATCCTATTCATTGTATTGTTAATGGGAACTAATATTAAGCCAGGAACCAACCAGCATTTAAAGATAGTAAAGAGTTATCTACATTTAGGACAAAGATATATTTGTAATATTTTGAAGATGTAAAACCAGAGGTCAACTGAATGCTGAGTTAATAGCTGCATGTCATAGTGTGACAGACTGGAAAGTGGATGTGACTTCTCTACTTCCTTTCACACACAGATATATCTAGATTGTCTGTATCTTATTCTAGTCTCTAGGAGATGGAGGAACACATTGGGTATTTTGTTTTAATTGTGCTGAGCAAACACTTACTCAGGAAACCACGGCAGTATTCCCAATAGAGGAGCACAGGCTTTGACAGCAGCTCAGCTTCACTGTTGCACACATCTATTTCGGCACCAATCTGTCACTTAACCTTCATTCCCTTTCATTCACCTTCACACACACACACACACACACACACACACACACACTGAAAACAAAACCATCTTACCTGCAGAGCTCTAAGAAGTAGGGATGATATTGTAAGGTGCATGGAGTAGTGTTAAACAAATGGTTGTGTTTTATCTGCATACGTAATACCTGTTCCCATAGACTCATGTTTTGTATCTGTTTGGGGGATGGAGATCTCTTTGGAGATCTGATCAAAGCAAGGAGAATGGTCTCTCTTCCCCTTGGCCACACTTCAGCCAGCCAAATGTATATACAACTTGGCTTGCATCTGCAGCTGGTCACAGATAGTCTGATTCCAGTGGCAGACAGACCATGAGCAGGTGAAGAGTTTAAAGGATTCTCTGTGAAAGGAATAGTTAGTTCCCTGGGTAAGGGGTACATATACTTTAGGGTGTAGTTAATCGTATAAGGTATCTTTTAAATGCGTTTTATTTTACTTTGAAAGTAACCATATTTTAAAATCATATAATAGAGTTAGTTGGGGGAGGGGAGGACTCCATGAATCCAGAAGTACTTATTGGAAAGAATAATAAAACATTATATATTTTAAAAAAATCATATTTTTCTATTTGAAGTCTTGGCTGGTAAAATATTCTGTACTTTGACCTACACTGTAATTTTTCTTCTGTTCTATTGCTTGATTCTGTCTGGACCTATATTTCAACATAGATTTTCCTGTGGGAACTGAAATGAAAAATTGGAGGAGAAAATGAACTCTGGGCAATCCCCCTGTTCTTTAGCTCAGAACTTTTGTCCATAAAGTTCTAGTGTGACTCACCGCTCTCCAGTGAAACCTGGCCGGCACATACATTTCCAGTCCTCCTGGACCTCGGTACAGTTGCCTCCATTGGAGCAAGTGAGATTTCTCTCCTCGTTCCCACAGACTGTCGAGGGCAATCTGCTGTGTCTAGAGAGATAAAAGTCATGGCCACAGCTGTTTATCTTGTTCCTTTCATTCAAAAAAAATTTTTGAGAAGTTCATATATGTAGTCAATGTTAGGCTAATTAAGTACTGAGGCTGGAGGAACGATAAATGCTGGATTGCACTGCATTGTACAAATACCACATTCTCCAGCAAAAAGCCCCTGCTGGAGGCTTCTGCAACCAACATGGCCATCCATCTTCTATTCTCCACAGCGGTTCCTGCATGAGATAAGATCTACGGCATGGGGTGGCAGTAAATTTAGGGCTGGGAAGGAGCTTGCATAGCTAGATCTGCAGCTGCTTTTCCAATAAATCAACAGAGGCCATAGGAAAATTGCATCTCTATAAAGGCCAGGAAAGCAAGGAGAACACGCTGGTACTCAAGCATTCATGTGATTTCTCTGTTGGCTTTCAGAGCTGAACTACAGTTGCCCTGCCAAGACTTGCCTGCTCCCTCTCTCATAATTCATAGCTTTGCACAGTGCAAGCCAAGTGCTGTCCAGGAGGTTTGTGTATAATACTCAATGTAACTGCATGTGAGTTCAGCATGTGGCTCCTTGTACAGCAGCAAAGCTGAACAGGATGAAGAATCCACATAAAAGGAAGAACAGACTGTTAAAGGCTAAGAAAACACTGCTAGACAAAAATCTGTAGGCTTGAAAGAGCTGATTTTAAACAGATTTTAAAAGTGTTGCTCAGGTCCTGTGGCCGTGTGTGTGTGTGTGTGTGTGTGTGTGTGTGTGTGTGTGTGTGTGTGATCAGATACAGAATAAATATTCGGGAAGTGGAAAGCAACTTCGCTCTTGTTCTGTCGTGCACTGAAGCTAACACAGAGAAATCCAGCAGCATGATGGTATAAGGGCGTGTCTTTTCAAGAGAGCTAATCAATTCCACTTCAAAAAGAAAATAACATAAGGACATTTCAAAAGTGTCTAGAATGTCAATAGCTCTAAAAGAGGTCATTAGCAATGCAGATCTCCAGCTGTATACACACCTTGGCTTCATAAACAGCCTCTGAAGAGTTCATTAGAAAGGACTCTTGAGAACTTTATTCTTTAAACTTGACGTTGATGAGTCGGACGGGAAAACATTTCAGAGAACTCGTTATGAGGGCATTTATGTTTTCTTATCCATTGTCACTGTGTAAGACTCATAATTTTGATCCCAATTTCTCTTGCTTTTAACCGGGTACACTACTCATTGACAAATGAGTCTGTTGACTTACAGGAAGTAACATCTATTAAATAACCGGAACACTTAGACTTCTCACTGTGCCTTGCTATCATGTGTTCTGAATAGTAATAGGTGCTGTGAAGATGAACACAACCTCTCATAGGTGTGGCTGTGTGTAATGGCTGCCAAGACAGTCTACCCCTGAAATAAAGTGATGTCTACAGGCTGCTCCACTCTAGATATTATTGCCCAAGTCCTGGGATATATTATTTGTTAATAACAACCCTCTCACCTCCCTACAATGACTCAATTATTTAATAAATGTAAGGCAGTGTAAGTTGTAAAGACAATAACAACACTGAAGCAAAGTGACTTAGAAGGAAAAACTTATTTTCTATCTCTGCATAGCCTAAAAGTGAGGTAGTTGCAAGAGCAATAGACTACTATTGCACTTTTAGAAAAAAAAAATGTGCTATTATTTAAAATGGGCAAATTCAATGAGTATTCTTTCAGTGGCATGCTGAGCATTATATAAAGGCCACTAGAACAACTGATTTTGTCTTGTTGTATGCCCTAAATTTTCTTTATTAAAGTGGTATTATGACTCTGTAAGTTATACAAAATAAACATTGTGTTTCCTGTCTGGTTAAAAAGCTGCTATTCATAGTTGTAGAATATTCCACAATATAATCACCTCTTTACATGATCAAATTGTGACGGGAGTGCTCAAAGCTAACCTTGTTTAGCACATATAGATATTTTAAGGGGAGATCTTTCTGGTTTGACAAGGAAAATTCAGAGCATAGCCCCCGAAAGACTGAGCTCTGCATGGACTTTGTGCTCACCTGCAAAATCTCCCTGTAAAATTTCCCAAACAGAGGCAAGAATAGCCGTGAGTCTCACTGACACAAGTGGCCCCATTTGCACACTGATGACTCTTGCAATTGTCGGTATCCACGTCACAGTTCACACCGGTGTATCCAGGCTCACACCTGCAGTGGTAGGCGGCAACTCCATCGGAGCAGTTGCCATGGATACAGGGGTTAGAAAGGCATTCATCAATGTTGATTTCACAGTGTGTTCCTGACCACCCCAAGAGACAGGAACACTGATAAGAGTTATAGCTGTCTCGGCAGCTTCCTCCATGCAGGCAGGGGCTGGACTGGCAGGCATTTAATGGCAAGCAGCCAGTAAGGACCACATTTGTAGAGACTTTGAGAAACTGCTCTTCCTGAGGCTTAGTAATGAAACCATGAAGATTTTCAAAATAAGAGAGATATATGCCTCCAATTTCTATTGTGCTCAGACAGCCCCGCAGGCCTTTCATATTGTCAATAGCTTGGTCACCCACATAGATGTCTGTATTGTCCTTCAAAAAATTCAGGCTTCCAGTAGCAATTGCGCTGGTCACAAGAGGTGTTTGGTGGTCCACCTCCATCTGCCACTGGGAGGTCTGGGCCAGTGGGTCTATCATGGAAAAAGTCACTCGGTGCCACGTGCCATCATTCACCAATTGCAAACTCATCAGATGCAGCACATAAAAGCTGTTGCCACTTTGCAATTGAAATGATAATCTGGAGTCTTGAATGCTAATATTAAGGAACTCGGGCTCTTTTACTGCGTGCAATATCATTACATTTGTATCACGTGTTCTGAAACCAAATGTGATATTGGTGAGTTCTCTGGTAATATTCCCATTGCTTCTGAACAATATTTCTCTTCTTAATCCACTGAAAACAGCATTTGCAATACCTAAAGTGAGAAGATGGAACTGATTGTTACCTTCATTCATCGTATTTATCATCATACCACTGATGTCTGTATGGTTGATACATTATGTATTGTGCTAGGTGCTATCAAGTTGTGCTTAATATATATTTTTTGGTCATTTCTTTACAAGAGAAGAACTTCATATTCACAGAATGTGAGTAATTTGGTCATTAAAAAATAAAGCCAGAATATCAAACCTGCCCATTGTAATACTAAAACTCAACTCATAACTTTTTTTTTTCAATTAAAATCTTCAGGAATGCCAATTATTGTTTTCCATTGGCTTATATAAAGGAAGCTTTGATTATCCACTTCAAAAATAAACAACTAAACACATAGAAATCAGGAATTTAGTTTCGGTGACATGCTAATTAGTTAACAATGGACGCTGGCTTCTGATAAAGTTCACCAACATGCAGTTAACAAGAGCATTCATAATAATGGATTGATTTAATGCCACAAAAAACTCCAATTATGTGCCCAGGTACCAACTTGCCACCTATGACCATGTAACTTCATGTGGTTGGGAAAAAATAGAAAACAATAGCACTTTACATTCACATATTGCACCAAATATAGCACTTTTGATGGTCTTATTGCATTTATTAATCTATTAAAATTGCTATAGCATCATTAATTCACAGTTGGTTCTATCTCTTAAAATATCTAGCCCTATGTCTGCTTATAGTGTCCTATATACACCCTTGAGACAGGAGGAGAAACGGAAGTGCCCCAGCTTTCCACCAAACCTGTCAACCTAATTAATAGTGTCCGGCCAGCCTTCTTTTCAGCATTACAACAGACACCCTGTCCTTATTCCTTCCAGAGGTCAGGCTTTCAAGTCCCGTGTTGGGCACCATTCATTTTCACTATTTTTAGTCATTTCCCTATGTGCACCCATTTTTTTACCCTGCACTAATACTTCCCTTCCCTTTTTGTCGTTTTTTCCCCCTTTACAGTACAAATATGCTATGACTGCTGAAAATTAAAAAAAAAGAGCCCACAAGACCCCATAGCACTACTTCCCTGATTGCCCTCTCAGTTCTCAGTTCCTGTTACCAGCAAAGCATTACCTTCATGCTTTGTATACTCATTCCAATTTTCTCATCTCCCATTTTCTCTGATTTTGTCCTCACCACTTCACTGAAATTGCTCCTGTCAAGGTCACAATGACTTCTGCGTTATTCAATCCAGTGGTCAATTTGCTGTTCTCCCTTTTCAGGAGCAATGACCTGAAAACACGGTTGGGGACCTTCCTTGCCGGGCTCTGTACCAGCCACCATCATCGGTCCTATGAAAGAGTGATTCTGAATTTCCCTACTTCTGTGGTTGCTGCAGATGACTCTAACAACCACTTCTTAGTTCAAGACGGAAATTCTAAACAGCATGCTCCAAGTCTACGGGCTCTCACCCCTGCTTCACTACTTCCAGTTGATAGCATTCTCTTCCTCAGTCACATGCCACAGTCACAAGAGCAAGGAGCTTGTCCCAACCCAAACCCTTTATACTCTCTGTAACTTAAACCTGGAATATCTTTTCTCCAGCCCTCCCCATGCTCAGGATCTCCTCAGGGCTGATGTCTGCTGGAATGTCACCTTCCCTCGGCCATCGAAGTTCAAATAGGTCTTCCTTGCATCCTTCCTCTGGTCTATTACTGATTTATTTCATAGCTCCTGTTGCCATTGGAAACCGGGTTTTACTCATTTTTTTAACTCTTTCTGTTCTAGTGGATGAGTTGTATGGCATCAGACGTCCTCTCTGTAGAAGTGTTCACTCAGTTCCTTCCCTGAGATTATTGCCTGGCCTTCAGTAAGTGTTCATTGAGCATTATTAAGTGAATAATCTGGGGAAATACATCACCTCTTACTTTGGAAAGTGAGACAATGATTAAAATCACATCAGGAGACAAAGTGATTCAAGTACTATAATTTAAATATAGTGTTTGACTAGATTTTTTAAAAAAATCTCATTTGATTTCACTGTTCATTTATTTTATTTTTTTCCTTACCAGATTTGGGGAAGGAATGTGGGAGGGAAGGGGGAATAAACGAACACCTTATTACGTATTTTTTAAGCAAATGATGAGCCATCCAATCTCATTATCTCTTTGTTGTCTCTCATGCTTTGTAAATCTATTTAGCAAGTCTGCCGGAGATGGTGGAACCACCTCTTGTGATCTGGGGAAAATGCTCAATACACTTTTATATCTTGCCTGTGCTTTGGAAAGCTTTGCTTCAATAAACAATGCTTGTCCCTAGAGAGAGTTGTAAAATTTCAAATCTTTGTTTAAAACTTGCTACTACCAGGAGATCAAGTGAGCTAAGGGTAAACTATGAGCTGTCTCAAGACTGCTTTAACCAGGCTTCGTCTTCCCAGTGCACTTTGCTGTTGCTCCTGGAGCCTAGGAGACTTTAGAGCATATCTTTAGAACCACCGTTTCTGAATAATGAGAAAGAATTCAAATTTAATTTGAACATAGAGCATTGGTTACATATGGACTGTGTATTATTTGACCTAAGGGGAAAGACAATATATAAACCATAGTGCTTAGTTCAAAATCATGACTGATATTCAGATTAGAAGACAATTCACAAGGAGGGGAACAGTACTACAAAGAGTAGGCCTGTACCTAAATCATGTCATGATACATATAGGGCGTACACAAAGAAACATGCAGAGTAGGCATTGTTTTCCCTGGTTTAGACGTGAGGAAGCTTTAGATTAGGTTGGTCATGTGCATAATCAATGGACGGCAGTGAGGCAGGTGTGCACGTTTACTGTGTCTTCTCAGTATCGAGAAAGCAAAGGCAGGTATTGTTTGTTTAGTTTTTCACAAATTAGATTTAAATAATCCAAGAGCTGGGTTTGTTGTTGCAAAGGCTCATTTTCTCACTCAGAAACTAGGGCCAACGGTCATGATATTGGTCACACCAGGCTTATTAAACGTCTCACATAGGTTTCTCTAAGAGGTCTATACCTGAATTCTTTTTTTCACTGTCTCTTGTTTGGACAATTGAAATATACCCACTAAACTGGATGGACGACAGCTTTGAATGCTACCTACATTCAAACCCTTGAGGGACCAGCTGGCACTGTGCACTGGGAGGACATGGGTTGAGTTGACACCACTGAACTTCCTCGCAGGCTTTCCCGGTCGTATTTGTAGGGCAGGAACAGGAGAAGTCATCCCACAGGGAATAGCAGACACCTCCATTATGACAGGGGTTGGACTGAGAAAAAAAGGAAATCAAAGGGATGAAAAGCAATGGCAATGAAATATGGAAATGTTAAAGGTGAGCTCATCTGTTACTTTAAAATGCCAATACCCCTACATCTTTGCAATTTAGATGCTTTGCACATTGTTAATAATATAGAATAAAGCTGACTACTACCGTTTCCAATTGCTTACTAAAAGAGCAGAGGAAAGAGCAATAGACAGAGGTGTGGGAGAGATAAAAGGCAAAGAAACAACAGAATGAAAGAGGAAAAGAGATACTATAAAACTGATCTATGGTACAAGGAGGATTATTGAAATATAATGATGTTCTCCATAATTTACGAGTTACATGCACTTTGCACACATTTATTATCACTGGTTAGGATGATTAATATGCCTGGGTGCCTCTAGTTGCCCAAGATCCCATAACCAGGCGAAATAGAGAGGACTAGTCCTCCATCCGGTATGTCCCAGTTTAACACCTCCCTCCCCATTAGCTTTGCTTCTGCATCAGCAACACAGTGTTAGTTCAGTTCCCAAGGCCACTCAGAGAGTAGTCAAAATAAAAACATTTTTAAAGTATTTGTTTAGCACCTGCACTGCATTTATCCAAGGTCTATTACTAAGTGATTTTGCCTGGTTATATACCCTCCTTTCTTTATACTTCTGAGGATAAAACACAGTCTTTAAGCTTGCTAAGCATGTACTCTACCACTGAGCTACCACCCAGAACATTATGTAGTTTTTATAAACCTTAATTTCTTCATCTATAAATATACAAATGTTCCTTTCATATAGTAGTCTTTTGACATAACTAAATGGATTAATTTATGTGACATCATTTCAACTATGAGAAAAATATTGCTAGAGTATTACAATAGTTCATTCATGTATATTAGAACTGAGTCTCGTATACAGTAATTACTGGGGCTCATGGATGATCAAGTCATGTCAGTGTGTTTCCTTCTTTTCCTCCAAAAGGTCATGAAGAGCTAACCATCTCACGTATTTGAAGCTATTTAGAAGACATGAAAAGTATTTGAAGCAAAGCACTGGCTCTGAGAAATCATATGTCAAAGGATTTCAAAAACAACTACCAAAGGGAAACTGAACTTTCTGGTTGACTTAATGGAAGAAGCTGGACATTGGCATCAAATTTAGAGGAATCTTCTAAAATGAATTGGTTTGGCTAAACCTATAGAACACCATTAAGACTTTGTAGCTTAAAATACTATTATTCTTAGGGAAGTTGATTATTTTGGGGAGCAGGAGAAGCATGTGACTGAAGTTATGTTGGCTGTGACAGATTCATGATGTCAATAAAAATCAATGTCACATTTTCATGGTTTGTTACAATTCTACCAATCTTTCCTGAGATATGTAGATGTAAACTATTCCATGACAGGTGGGTGATCAGCATTTTATTCATATAAAATGGTTCAGTGGGGTGTGGTGGCATACACCTGTAATCCCCACCCACATATGGGAAAGTGAGGAAGAGAGGCTGTGAATTCAAGTCCATCCTGGATTACATAGTGAGTTCTGTGTCTCAAAAACCAAGAACAAAAACAGAAAGGTTATGATAAATAAATAAATAAAATTTTAGTATGCACTATGTGTATAGTTGATATGCATTACCCTACCTACCTTACAGATGTTATCTTCAGGACAACCTTGAGTCACATTGACAAGAACTGGATCACGGTATCCATTGCTTGTTGAATTGGGGAAGAATTCCAGATTTTGGTTGTTCAATCTTACATCTTGAATACAGCCTTTGAAGAAGCCACCATACACTTCAGTCTTTTGTCTGTCAGGTAGGCCACCAATGAAGATGACATCTCCTCTTCCAATCGTCCATGCAGGAACAGAAATAAATCCTAGGTTTTGTGAAGACTCATATAGTTCAATTTCATTTGGTTTGATTTTCAAAGATATTAAATGGGCATTTCCATCGCTAAGAAAAAAATTCAGTACTAACTTGGGAGGGCCTGGAGTTTGCAGTGCTAGGCTTCCATGCTCTAGCCAGACACGGACATACGGGTAAGTACTGTTTTCCAAAGCCAGAAGTAAGCCCGATGGGTGGCGTGTTCTGACAAACATGGAGAGACTAACGTTCTGTCCATGATTCTCATCAACATTAAAGATGGCATATCCAGGGGAGTCTTCCTGGCCGAATCTGCCTGCTACGTACTCTTCAACGTCAAAATAGGGAAGGAGAGAGAGAGAAAGAAAAAAATCTTTACATTCAAATGTGAGAAGAGTTGTAAGGTGGGATTTTTGCAGGCACCCACAACCAGCAATTCCGCAATGATCAACGAAAGAACATTCCCATCTCCTCTCTAAAATCCAACTGAGGAAACATTAGACACTGCTTCATCATGACGAAAGAAAGATGTGGGTGTGTGCACGTCATGCACCTCTGTGGGGCACTGCCCAGGTTCTCTCTGCTGTGTGGAGGTATGCTGAAGCAGACAGGTCATGAAGTTCTACTGCTCTGTATAAAGACAGAGGCCAATGGTAAGATTAGCAAGCTCAACTGTGGGAAGGCGCCCCACGTAGTAAGAGACAAGGCAGTTGGGGAAAGAGATTTTAGGAGGGTGAAGTGTTCAATTGTGTTCACTGACTGAGGTCAAGTATGAGAAGGGCTGAGAGCTGACTATTGAATTTGCAATGCAGAATTTATTGCTGAGCTTGACAACAGCACTCTCATAAAGGTATTGCTGCTTTGGGTTTTCACATCTCAGTTGTAACCAGGAAAAAAAAAAAAAGATCATATCCTATCATGGTTAGATATCATCACCAATTGAAGTTTGTGTGAAAGTAAGACATATTTTAGTTTAGCTGAACCACAGTGAATCTTGCTTAGACAACCATCTGTGTTTGAAGACCTTCTGCATAAAAGGCTACATTTTCAGAACTCTGACTTGATTCCTATAGGAACATTGCATTGTGAATCTGCATTTGGACACCACCTGCTCCAGGCAACTACAGGTAGCTTTCAAAGGTACTGTCAGATAAAATAACCTCTTTGAAGAGGTTAACATCTCTGAACACACTGCGGCACTTTTGTATAGGATAAAATGCTTAATAAGAAAATTGGGCTCTTGAAGCCCTTGAGTTTTGAGGGTAGGCACAAAAATCCCTCAAGCTCAGGGGGCCGGGCCCCTGCTGGTCATCCTAGGATGCCTGCAGCATCACTTTGTGGATCAGAATAAAAGACAGGATGCAGAGATGGGTTTCTTTTTTTCCTTAGAAACTTGACTCTCCAGTAGTCCTATTCTTCAGAAATCACAAGCAGGTAGTCGGAGTGTGTGATGTGCTACATGATTTTAGAAACACCATAAGCCACATAGGAAGGACTTGTCTATGTGCATGGAAGATTTGATTCTAATACACATTTCCAATATGTTCTAAAGATGTATGGATGGAAAAAAATAATTTGACGAATTTCAATGATTGATGGGACTACAGGATGGAATGTAATGAGAGTAAATAGAAGGCATTTATACTTAAATGTGACTCAGCTTAGGATAGAAGAAAGAGGACTCTGTAGCCTCACAAATGACAATGACTAACAAAAGGCGACGTGTAAACAATGCGCGACATAGTTTATGTGATGCTAATATGACAAATGACAGCATATTATATAGAAAGAAGAAAGTTATGGTCCCATATCATGGTGTCATCAGGCACACTTAGGTACCACTTTTTAGAGAGACACAAATGTGTGGCAAAAGGAGCAAACAGCCGATGAAGTCTCGGGGCCATGTCATACAGAGACGCTAGAGGCAAGTAACATGTGTAGGATGATGGGAGTGGTTGCTGGGTGTGAAATATTTTTCTTTAAATGTTTGGGAATTCCCAAGAAGAGATGTTAATCCTTAAGTGAGAACATCCGCAATGAAAACTGTTTGAGAAAATGACAGCTTTGGGTAAATCTCGGTCAAGATAAATGGAACGAAGTAACTGCTTGGAAATTTGGGGCAAGATGGAACAGAGAACTCTCTGTTTCTGAAGCAGGTTCAAAGCAGAGGTTTGCATAAGAAATCCAGCTACTGAATGAAGCCCTATCAAACCTAATGGAGGAAGGTAAACATCTACAAGTTGCTTTTTAAAAATAGATACTTTTCAAATGAAGCAAGAGATGTGTGATACATGCCTTTAGAACAATATCCCAGAACCCCTGTTCTGACACATAACACAATACATAAGATGTCAACACATCAGACAGTTCAGGGCCCCATGCAAACCTTCTCAAAACCTCCTTACGGGGCATAAATGATTTTTAGGAATCTCAGCTTCAAGATATTGTCAATCTCTATACCTTTTGTGTTACTCAGACAAGAAAACCCTCTATCCAGTCTGTCTTCTTCTTTCATTGTGTTTGCCAGTGGTAAACACTGTTCCCAAATCATTATTTGGGGACTGGAGGGGTGGCTCATATGGTGAAGAGTACTTGCTGCCCTTGGAGAGGACCCAGGTTGGTCCCCAGTATCCACATCAGATAGTTTAAAACTGTCTGTAGCTCCTGCTTCAGGGGATCTTCAGACCTCAGCAGGCACCTGGCCTAACGAGGTATATAAGTGACCCCCTCATACACACATAAAATAAAACAATAAAATATATTTTAAAAAATCATTATCTGGGTGGCTCGCTCTCTAGATTTTTGGTGTGTCTCATCTTGAATATATATATATATATATATATATATATATATATGCAAATATATAATATATGTATAAAATATCAGATACACTCTAAGTTCTCATTTTTACTCTTAAGCATTTGTGTGTATATGTGTGAAAGGAATGAAATACAGAAAACATTTGCTCATAGATACCAGTAGTACAAAATATTTTAACTTGGTGATTCAGGGGTGATATGAAAAATATAACTTTGCTTTAAACTTTCCCAAAAATTTCCAAAAAGGAAGAATTTTATGAAATTCCTGCCCTATAATCTTTTGATGCCCAAAGTAGGGTTAAACAGTTGCAAACAGTATGAGAACAGAGGATATAATCACACTCAGTGTGCGCAGAGGGGTATAATCAGACTATTTCGGGAATATGGAAAGTGTAACCAAATCAGGAATTTGGTTTTAAAAGTTCATTATTTTCCAAGTTAGAAAAAACTATAAAGAAAACCAGAACCCACTGGATTGGCATCTCTCGAATCTGTTTCTTAGGACAGTCAGCATCCCCACGGTCAGTGTTAACCTCACGGGTCACCGCATCTGGAAGCCAGTCAAAATGAGTCCGCATCTGTTTGTTATTTTGTATATGTAGTAAAAATATTGCCTTGGGTCAATTAGATTTTTCTTCAAAAAGTGGACCGTTTCCTCGGCATAATTTCACCTTTTCTCCTTTAAAAATAATCACAAAACAACTCGCCATGCCATTTAAAATATTACATAGGGCAGCAGATGCCATGCCTCATTGTCAAACAGGTCCATGATTGTAATGAATATTGTGGTGAGGGGTAAACCTGCGAATAGTTTCTAATAATTCTTAGCCATTGAACATGGGGTAGGGTATAGGCTGCGGCTGGTTCTAATTTTACTTCATATAAAACAGAGGAGACTATTTACCAGATGCTATCCTACTTGGACTTATTCTAAAATGGTGGAGTAAATTGCAGCCGAACTTCAAAGCAGTCTGTTGGAGTTCCCTCTCAGGCCTCTCAATGCATGATAATAATAATAATAAAAGTGAGCAGATATGTATTGATTGCTATCAGTGGCAGTCTTTGGAGAGGTGCTGGAAGTAAAGGAGTTGAAATACACTTCTCACTGATATGGTAGAGGAATAGGATCGACTTGTGTATGCTAACTACTGAGTTTTTACTGATAATACATTTCCTGTCTTCTTTCTGTCTCTACTGATGACATCTCTCTGTTTTGTACCTAAGATCTTGGAAGAGATGGTTTTGAATAGAACTGATGGATTGTCAACCTGCTAATCTTAAGCGCGATTCCTAAGGAAGTACAAACTGCCCAGACAGGAAGCAGGGAAGTGGATGTTCATTGAGACTCTTGCAGGCACAGGATGCAGTACCAGTATGTGGATATTCATTGAGACTCTTGCAGGCACAGCATACAGCACCAGTATGTGCCTCTAAAGTTTTGTGTCTAAAGCTCCCATTTCTCCCAAACATTACATCTTGTCCAAATAAGGTTTTTCACACATTTCTGATATACAACAAATGGCAAAGATCTAAAAGCAACTTACCAACTAGATGAAACACTATTTTGATAGGAACTATTAGCTTATTGTAATTTATTATTATTATTATTATTATTATTATTATTATTATTATTAAATACTTTTCAGCCCAAGTAAAGCTTAGCTGTCCTCTGAAACCAACTCATAATTAATACATGTCACTGCTGTCTCCTTTTATCTCTTAGTGAACAAGCGTCAGTGTAAGGCCTGAGGGCTCCTTCTGTTTCATAACAGGAGGTAGCTGCCTGGGTGTTTCTGAGATGGCTCTGCTCTGAGGCACCGCACGCCTGGGCACCCCACTCCTCTCACCTTTCAGGCAGTCGGAGCCTGCATAGGGCCTGTCACATTCACACTGATAACCCTGCCACAAGTTGATGCAGTGTCCTCTGTTTTGACAAGGTTGACGTTCACACCAGTCCTTTCTCGTGCAGCCTGCTTTGACATTTAGTGACAAGCTAGACGAAATGTTCTCCAGAGTGATGTGGTTCGAATCAAATTTAATATCTTGGAGACAGCCTACAAAGGAAGGTGTGGACGGCACATTATAGATGTCAAGCACAGACACACGGTTGCTGGTTGTTCCCACTGGTAGGCCACCCAAAAAAGAGTTCGGAGAAGCACATATTGACTGATGATTCTCAACTGGAAAAGAAGTCTTGGTGGTACATTTCCCCTTGCAGGAGCTGCCAGTTAGGGCAAGGGTTATAATTCCCGCAAATGTTACCTCCACCAAATGCCATTCTCCATCACTAGTGTTGTGGGAAATATATAGAAGCACCTTTGACTGATTCTGGGCTTGTATTGATAAGTGAACACAACCGTTTAGCAATTCCAGCTTCATAGACATATCCCTGTTGCCTCGGAAAAGGAGAAGTGTGTTTAGTTGAACAGTCTGAAACCTCAAGGATATGTTACAATCTGACTGTCTGGTTGTATGTGAGCCACTAGTGACCCACAGGAAGCCGTTGCCCTCAAAGGAAAGTGTGGTATCAGTTCCACACAGTGACCCAGCATAGCCAGAAGGACATTGGCAGGTGAATCCATGCTGGCCATTTTCAAAGTGAGGGATGCATTTTCCATTATTGAGACAGTGGTGATGAGTGCAGCCCAGGAGAACTTGAGAACAGTCTTCTCCTCCATAAAAGGTCCTAGAAATGTCATCCAAGGGGCAATGGCAGGTATAATTTCCAGGCAGGTTCTCACAAGTACCACCATTTTGGCAAGGGTTTGATAGACATTCATCAATGTCTTCTTCACAGTGGATTCCTGTTAAATAATAAACAATAGGTAAAGCATATACATACTCACATAGACATATGGAATCAAATCATTAGTAGAAGTTTCATTTTAGATAGAATCAAGAAGTTCAGAGCAAGTTCATGGTTATAAGTGTGATAGAGTAAAACGTAATTCTTGAGGAAAATTAAAATCAGTTATATTATTCTACACATACTGTGAAAAGAGCAGTCATGACAGACTTAGAATTCTTCTAGGAATAGAACATTTGTCAATTATAGCAATCGTCTCAAGCTACCATTGTCAATTATACATATGGCATTAACATGAAAACAAAACAAAAAGAGGAAAATTGGTTTTGGCAATGATCCTAGATTAAAAAATGATGAATTTGTGGATGCTTTTCTCTGCCCCTGTTTATTCTGTTCTTTTCCTCTCTTCTATTTGGAAACAGTGATTGCTTTCTTGTTACATCATCCTGTAACACCTAGAACCAAAGTCTGCCAGATCTATAGACACAGACATCTCTCACAGCAAAGCTCCTAAGGCAGATGGAAGGGCCCACCCTTTTTCCTGCATTCCTAAACAAAATAAGACATCTATTCTACAACAAGTTCCCACTGATAATTCTTATTTCGCTTTGACACAATGTTGGTCTTGATTTCAAGAAAAGTAGAACAATATCCATAAAAGAATTATTAAAACTATTTTAGTCAAGCCGACAAGAATGTGACAGTGTACTTATTAGTTTTTGTCAATGTGGCACAAGCTAGGGTCACTTGGGAAGAAGGAATTTCACTTCAGGAATTGCTTCCATCAGAATGGCCTGTAGGCAAGTCTGTGGGGGCATTTTCTTGATTAACAATTGATGGGGGAGGGACCAGGCCACTGTGACTTGTATCATTCCTGGACAGGTGGTCCTGGGTTCTATGAAGAAGCAGGCTGAGCAAACCGTGAAAAGCAAGCCAGCGAGCAGCTTTCCCGCTGGTCTCTGCCTGAGTTCCTGCTTTGAGCTCCTGCCCTGACTTCTCTCAATAATGGAAAAGAATCTACAAGCCAAAATAAGCCATTTTCTCCGCCAATTTGCTTTTGCTAAGTATTTTATTTCAGTTGCAAACACCAAACTAGGACAAACAGTTTTTAGGAGTGGCTATAAATGCAAAGGAGCAAAAACAAACTGACATATGTTGTACACTTTATGATTTTTTCCCCAGTACCTTCATTCAGGTTGCATTTCTGTTCACAGCCATTTGCGGTTTGCAAGGCACATCTTCTTAACTCTTTTTGCAGAAGAAATTGATGTTTAAGAAGTCAAAAGACAAAGTTCTAAAATATTTCTACAACCTGACCCTAAATCATGTTTTCAAATCCAATCTGATACTGTCTTAACTGATAATCATGTGTTACCAGTCATTCTGGGTACTAATATGTGTATGACATTTTCCCAGTTAGGCCTATACCTACATTTTTTATTTTGTACATATGATACTAATATTATAAAAACAAACAAAAGGAGGAAAAGTCTTCTTCTGGCAGTGATCCTGGATACAAATGTGGACTCTTTCCTCAGGCACTGTGCTCCGTGATATTTAACTTTCTATTACAAACCTGTCCTACAAAGGTTCCCATCTTGAGAGTGCTGGGTGCAAAGCACAGCCAGGCAATGTGTGATCTTCAGCAGATTGAGTCCTTCACTTTGAAAGTCTTACCTTCCTCATCAACAAAATAGGAACAAAAATGGCATTTACTTGACAAAGATTTTCATAGGCTGACTTAGGTCATGTAAAGGACTGGGAATCTGTTTGCTGTGCAAGTTCCCAATAGATGTTGGCCATTACTAAAAAGTAATAACCAGAAGATTTACCCTCACTGACAAAATTCAAATAGTGCTCGGTCACTGAAAGATAATTTACAAAGTGTGGGTTACTTGTTCTGCCCTACAAATTGAAAAGTCTTGAAATAATAATATAAAGTAAATATGAGAATTACAGTGTATTTAGTCTAGAATCTCATTAGACTCTAAATTCCGCTAGGGAAAGAAAATGTGTTTTATTCATTAATCAGCATCTAAGCCTTACTTTAATACTTGGCTCATATGTGAAAATCCCAAGAACCCCTAAAACGAAAGATTCATTTGATAATTAATCTTTTAAATGATTAATTAATGATTTTCCTAAAGTAACAAATATTTTATAAGGGATTAAATCTTATCCGAAACCTAAAGTGTACTTTCTATGTATGCTTACTAATTTAGGAAATGATAATTTTTCACTGCCCGCCAGCACTTATGTACCAGACATTTAGGTACTTGACTGGGAGGGTTCCATCATACTTATATTTTACCTTACTTGGATTGATTTCACAGAAGCTCTGCTAATTCAAAAATATTTTAAGTTCTGTGAGAATGGTGAAGTACTATAATTTTACTTAAAGTCTCCCACTGTGCTGGACACATTTCTGAATGCACATGTTATAAATACTCTGTGACAGCTGGGAGGTGGTGCGCACGCCTTTAATCCCAGCACTCCGGAGGCAGAGGCAGGAGGATCTCTGTGAGTTCGAGGCCAGCCTGGTCTACAGAGCGAGTTCCAGGAAAGGCTCCAGAGCTACACAAAGAAACCCTGTCTCGAAACTGCCTCCCCCCCAAAAAAATAAAATAAATACTCTATGAATAGAAAGAATAGAGTTGGATGGCGTTGATCTGTTTTATGGATACAGAGAATGAATATAACATGATAAGTAAAAATTAACTATAAAGGAGTATTCTAAAGAAATTTTAACTACATCAAGAGTTTGATTTTTGTATTAGAAGAAATTTTCCATAAATTTGATTTTTCCATCTTTGTACAAGAAACCAGCAAGTATTTCACCAAAAGAAACTTTTGGCAGACAGGCATTGTAGACATGCTCCTAATCCCAGTGGTTAGGAGGTTGAGGCCAGTCTGGGATATACAGTGAAGGTCAGGATAGCCTCCACTACACAAAAAGACCCTCTACCAACAATAGACACAAACAAGAAATTTCTTTATAGACACACAACCTCATATTCCCTCCCAAGAACATTTATCTACCCTTGAAATTCACCTAAGCTCTAAAAGCCTGAAGCTTATTATTGTGATAGTCTGCATTTTAATTTCTCCTAGAATTTAGTTTGGTACCTACAGCAAAGCATCTTAACAACTAATTAAACATTCAATTTACAACACTTTAAAATTTGCAAAGTACTACTCTGTGTCCTACTCTCACAGAACACTGTGGGAAGTGGACGGATGTGGAAGCCAAAGACTGGGCTTTGATGTGATTACAGTATAATGGTGGGACATAAATGTGATTACAGTATAATGGTTTTGAAATTTATGAAAATACGTTGCACACAGCAGCCTTCCAATGGTGGCAGACAATCTGTAAAGAGCAAACTCAGGCACCGCCAGACCATATTTAGGTAAGTTCTAGTGAAGGCTTTGAATCAGAGACAGTGAATGACACTGAGACGTTAAAACTAATAATTAAAATCAAATAAACAAATAGCGGTGTCATATAGACCGTGCACAAAGTCATGTAGGTAGCATGAAGTGACAATGAAGTCTTACCGAGCTTAATGAAGGTAGGAAATGTGTGGAAAGAAGGTGGCAGTGTGAGTAATTGCACACCCACTGAATTGCACAGGTAAAAACGACTGCAGCCTAGCGGCCTCACTTCAGGATGGCCCGGAAAGGTTTAGGGAACTAAGGTTGAATCTACATTTCAGATATAAATTAGAGTGGCCCCCAAAAAAGTCATTATGTCCACAAATAAGCAAAGAAACAAAACACGCTGGAAGGAAAATCTGAAGACATCCCTAAGTGGTGGTTGTGTTTGGCAAACAGGCTGCCATGGAAGATTCATGGAGGAAGGTCAAGTTAGAAAGCTTAGCCCAATGCAGCCAGATCGGAGAGCTGGAGCTTACAAAGTTTTTATTGTTTTATTTACTTACTCATTTACTTTTTGGCAGTGGGAAACGATGGGGTAAACGTGGGCTGGAAGACCAACGTGGTCCCTTCCAAAGGTCAGTCCCACAGGGATGAGGGAAGAGAAAGAAACTAGAGACAGGAAGACGCGCCAGGAGCAGTTAAAACTCCACAAGGAAGACTATCAAGGCCGGAAATAGAATGTTTATTTCCCTCCAGTTCAAGTTGTCTTGAATTGTATCTGTTCAGCATGTAAATATCGACGACAGTACTTTCTTTACAGTTGTTACTGTATTTTTATTACCGCTAGAAAATACAGATATGGTCTTTCACAAAATACCAATCACCTGGCAAAGTATTTCCCTTATATATAAAAAAATTAAATTTTGCCATCGCTTCAAAAGAAAGGAAGAGAAAGCCTGTGTTGATATTAAAAGTCTGAAGGATACATAGAATAAGTGAAAACAGGACTGCAGAGACTTGTGCTCCTGTCTGTTTAAAATCAGTTCTACAAACATCCCACCAAATAAGGTCAGATTATTGGATGAGCTCAGTCAACTAAAGGTGGGGAAAGACTTTGAAAATTCTTTCCCTGGGGCTTGAGAGATGGCTCAGTGGTTAAGAGCACTGACTGCTCTTGCTGAAGACCCATGTTGGATTCCCAGCACCCACACAGTGGCTCATAGCTGCCTGTAGCTACTGTCTCAGTGGATCTAATCCCCTCTTCTGACCTCCACAGGGACCAGGTACATACGTGGTGAACAGACATACATGCAAGGCAAACCATTTCATACAGTAAAAGTAAAATATAAGATACAAAAATTTTAAAAAAAGAAAAAGAAAATTCCTTCACTGGTTATCTCATTCACTGGGCAGAGGAAAAGGTCTGCTGCCTATGAAAATAAAAGGATTAGGTGATATTCATGACACCTATAATACACCTGTCTTTCCATTGGGGGTATTTTAGTAGCTGTTATTTGGTTGCTGATGTCCGAGTGTTGATGAATAATGTAGATTGCTTAAATTTTAGTATTGTTTTAAATCAATTTAGTTAACTAAAATCTTACTACTTATTTTTCTAAA